GAGTAACCTGAACATTAGGCAAAGCCCATTACTCGGCCAGGAAGGCCTGGATTTAATTTGGGGGGTAATCCAGAAATAAATGCTTGCATATTTCCCCATTAAGTTAATATATAACAAACCACATCAGATGATTTTGCTCAAACTATCCTTGGCAAAATGATTTTTAAAAAACATTTATTTTAATTGCACAGATTAGTTCAGGCCGTTTGTAGTGATTCACAAGCCATAGTTTGATCTCTATTGTTTATACGTTCACCCTGTGTATGTTTGTTTCAGAACACTTCAGAAGCTATTTTCAGGTTTCGTTCCAAATTTCTCGATTTAGATTCAAGCCAGACAACCCTCAAAAAACATTTTAAAAAGTGAACAATTAATCCTGTTCTAGAATATTAAGTCTTTGTATAGCCCAAAATAATCTATTTGTATTGTATACTGACAAGCTCTGATTCAGTTCTCACTGAATAGAAATTTCAGTAAGCTTTAGATAAAGCCCACAGTTAATGCAAATAAATGCATTTACTAGATCATTCAGTAAAACTTTGGTACCCAGCTTTTGGGCTCCAGATATGATCATGGCATTTTTTCCAGAATGTTTAATCCCACTTTTTTATCAACAAAATGTAAACAACTGGATTGTCCATCTAACACAAGATGCATATATTGCTCCAAAGACTACCTAGACTACTTTGGATCTTTTTGTTTCCATATCAAAGGCATCACTTCCTATTTAAATACATGTCAGTTGTTGAAAATATCCTGCCTTATAATTAAACAAAAGCTAGGCTTTTTTTTTTAAAAAAAAGATCTTGTTTCTCTTGATAATAATGATTTCTGTCACCAAGGATATATTCCTAGTGTAACAGGGTGAGTTCAAGACATATTTCTGTCCTCCAAGACAAAGGTCTTTGATAGGGCATGGTTTGCTTTCCAGGAACTGCCACACTGACCAAACAGGGACTGACCCAGCCTTCTTCAGCCAGCATGTCTTTTATCAGCTGAAGTTAACGCCAAAAGAGATTAGCAGAAAAGCCTGATAAGACTGTTTTCTCTTCAATGAGCTTCTAATGGTGTATGCAGATGGCAGGGTTTAAAGAGGGAGAAACAAGCACGTACTGTACTTGGGCTGGTAACACACAACAGATTCCCCTACACTCTGAGCCTCGCTGACCCTTGCTTTCTTCAACCTAGCCACTCATAAGGTAAATTAAATTGCTTTTTCAGTTTTTATTTCAGCTTCAACCACTTTTTATTATTTACATCTGGTGGTCCCCTTATTTATGTCCCTTTCCACTTCCTTACAACACTCCTTTACTCAGAGGACTGCAATGCATTATGGTTCTTCATTCTCAGCAGGAGAACACTACACTGTCTTCAAACAAATAATTAAAGGGAAGGTTAAAGGGGTTCACCTAAAGGTCATATCTTTAGAAACTGGTCAGAATGTATACGTTAATTTAAAAGGGGGGAAGGCATCCTCTCAAGATTTTTTTTTTTTAAAAATGCAGTTTATGCAACACTCAGACTATTCATAATCTTTCGGCCAAAAGGACACAAAACAGACATTTATGAACATAATTAAAAAACATATTCTGTGGCTAATGTTTATTACATCAACAAGTTGTCAGGGCAGAAACTTTAGCGAGATGATTTGAAAGTCCAGGGAGTGCTTGGATATTCTTCCTGTACAGCACAATTTTGTGTGGGGACACATCTCTTTAAGAGAACTATCATAAGAGACAGTTGATATGTTAATTGATTCAACAGATAGTGTGTGAAAAAACACTGGAAGACCAAGGTCAGTGATACTTAAGCTTTGAGGGACCCCTTCATTTTTTTGGGAGGGGGGAGAGATTACACGGAAGGGGGGCACAAGGTTACAGGAAAGAAAAGGCAGACAATGGGTAATTCTCTTAAATAAAGATAATTTCTAGTGTTGCAGTATGAGGTAGAAGAGTCTGGAACAACTGTTCCTCCTTTGGCTGTGACTGGCTGGCTCTAGGAAAAAAATTCTGTACTCAATTTTACATCTTTTACAATGCCAATTACAGGATCTTTAGCATATTAGAGCATTTCTTCAAACCTTTGCACTTATATGCTTAATTTCCTCCTGTGTACATGGCTTTCCTTTCTACTTTATCTTTAAAGTAATCCTGTAAGGTAGGTCAGGTTGAAAGATAGTAACAGGCCTAAGAATTTCATAGCTCAGTGTGGTCTAGAATCTTAATCTTCCAATCCTGTGCATTGTGCCCAAAGCAAGGCATATAAATGTATACATCCCCAGAAAGGCTCCACCCCCTCGCTTCTATGACAATGCCCATCAGGTCACATGACAATTGCCAGCTTGTGAGCCTTTGCAAAGTTACATCATCATCATCATCATCATCATCATCATCATCATCATCATCATCATCATCACTATTCCTCCTCCCCATTCATTTTCCCAGTCCAGGAATCTAAATAGTTTACAACAACAAAAACCACATCTTTAAAAATTCACAAAATGTAGAATCTTAAGAGTGGAAGTTGTTCAGTTTATGAAGCTAATTAAAATCAATTAATTTAAGAAATAAGTTGGATATTTGCTTCTAAAACAAGAAAATGTATTAATTTTATTTTTAACTAAAGCAATTGGCCTAAGATGGAATCTGAGCAGCAATATCCAGAATTAATTAAAATGAATTACATTATGAATAAATTGGAGATTTGCTAATGAACTAAGGCCACATGATTAACTTAAGTTAAATGTTCAAAATGAGTGTTTTTCCAGAATTAAGCTCTTAATTAAGTGATTTATTATTTAAATAAACTACTACTACTACTACTACTATCCTGTTTTTTCCTAGTTTGGCCCTCAAATGCTACAACAGTTAAAACAAATATTGTTAAAATTTACAGCATACAAAAGTTGAAAAACAATTAAACCATCTAAAACCTGCAAGCAGTTAAAACAAAATAAAACAACAGTGACAAATAGAAGTATAGCACATAGAAACCTTAACGGGGAGGGGGAGATGCGGGAAAGGGAGACCATCAATTCGGCCATCAATTCGGCTCCAAAATGGTAGAGAATTACCACCACAAATTCGGTATAGAAATAAAAAAAAAGAAACCAAAAAAATTTAATAATATGCAATCGGTCTCCTGACAAGGCAGGTGGATGTACCCAGGCTGGCAGTCCCCCCGGGTTGAAGATGGTGCTGTTGAACGCCAGATCTGTCAACGGTAAAACATCTTTCATCCAAGATTTAATTCTGGAGGAACGGGCAGATCTGGCGTGCATTACGGAGACCTGGTTGGACGAAGCTGGAGGAGTTAATTTAACCCAGCTTTGCCCACCAGGTTTCTCCGTGCAGCACCAATCGAGACCTGGGGGGCGGGGAGGCGGGGTGGCGGTAGTCTATAAAAATTCCATCTCGCTGACCAGAGGCCCCATCCCACAGTCAACTAATTTTGAATGTGTCTACCTGAGGGTGGGTGACCGGGACAGAATAGGGATTCTGTTAGTGTACCGCCCACCTCGCTGCACTACAGTCTCCCTACCTGAGCTTGCAGGGGTGGTCTCGAGCCTGTCATTGGAGTCCCAACGGCTTCTTGTGCTGGGGGACTTCAATGTACACGCCGAGACTACCTTAGTGGGAGCGGCTCAGGACTTCATGTCTTCCATGGCAACCATGGGGCTGTCCCAACAAGTAACTGGCCCCACCCACAGTGCTGGACACACATTGGATTTGGTTTTCTGTCAGGGATGGGAGCAAGGTGGTGGGGTTGAGGAGTTATCTATCTCTCCGTTGCCATGGACCGACCACCATCTGGTCAGCTTTAGACTTACTGCACCACCGAACCTCCGCAGAGGTGGGGGACCCATTAAGTTGGTCCGCCCCAGGAGGCTTATGGATCCGGATGGATTCCTGATGGCTCTTGGGGAGTTTCCTGCCGCCTCGGTTGGTGATCCTGTTGATGCCTTGGTGACTCTCTGGAATAGGGAGATGACCAGGGCTCTAGACACGATCGCTCCGGAACGTCCCCTCTCAAGTAGCCGAGCTAAACCAGCTCCTTGGTTCACCGAGGAGCTGGCAGCAATGAAGCGAAAGAAGAGGAGACTAGAGCGTGTGTGGCGTTCGGACCCGAGCGAGTCAAACCGAGCACGGTTTGTTGCCCTATTAAGGGCATATGCCGTGGCAATAAAGGCGGCAAAGAAATCTTTCTTTGCGGCCAATATTGCGTCCGCAAAGAACCGTCCAGCTGAGCTGTTTCGAGTTGTC